AAAAAAAAAAAAAAAAAAATACTACTGCCAACCTATCCAGATGATTCTAGGCTCTGCAGGGATACATGTATATGTGTTTATCTTTCCCTGTCATATCTGACCTAGGAGTATCTCACTGACAAAGGCAACTGAGATGTACTGGTCTTGTTTATGGTATAGAGTCCAGATTTCCCTGACTTTATAGAGGCAGGGGCAGCATTTAATCTTACCTGCCACAAGCGAAGGTGTATGGGGCAGTCGGGGCTATTGTTAGTCTCTGCACAGCGGAAGAACAGATTGGACTAGTTGTGTATTTTACATTGGAATCTTCATTGATCGGGTATTATCATTTTCTAAAATGATGGGACAGACATTCTGGGGTGCCATATTCACTGTCCTCCTAGCCTCTGCTACTTGTTAGCCTTTGTGAACTCTTCTTCAAATAAGCTTCCAGGCTTATCAGAGGAAGGGAAAACGAATGACAGCTCTTATTAAAATCTTCTCAGCTCTTCTTGTTGTCGCTGAGGGTTATTCCCTGCTTGCTTGACTCCTTGTCAGCCTTTCTTTCCTCTAAAATTAGCTTCTTAGTAGAAAAGTATTCTAATTGTATTTTTACTTTATTGTCTTTGAGCGATTTATTCTCTGGGCCTTAAAAAAATCCACAAAGGGGAAAATAAGTTTCTTGTGCTTCATAACCACCCAGACAATTTCATGAAGACTGTGGCAAAGGCAACCCTGTATCCATCTACCTTCCTGATTCCTCAGCCTCATGACAGGCAGGGCCTGCCCTGATCTGGCCCCTGCCTCCTAATGAGAAATGTGTAATGAGCGTTCCATGACTCTGTTGATATAAAAAGCACTGTAGTCCTTAAGCGAATCAACTTTTATGTTTGCCACAGCCCCTGATGAAAAATGACTCATTGTGCAGTGTGAGGAGATATGTGATCAACCATCAAACTTCCCGCAATGGAACATGGGCACAAGATGTGGGAAATCACACCAGATTCACGTTCCTGTGGACAGAGCCAGCGCATACTGTTACGATCCTGGCCGTCAATTCAGTGGGTGTTTCTGTGGCAAATTTTAATTTAACCCTCTCATGGCATATGAGCAAAGGTAAGAAGAGGTCCAGAGTTGCAATCCATTGCCTCTTTTGAAATTGAACTTTTGCAAGCTTCTCCCATTTAAAATTATCTTCCAATCAGCCTGCAGTGCTCTGAATCTGAAAGTCTCTATTTCATCCTTTATCTCTTCTTTGTCTGAAAAAAAAATACATTGTACACTAGTTGTGTAATGCAGTCCTTGGATTTTCATGTGGTGGAACATTATTCAAATGATATTATAATAAATGAGACTATTCTAGTAAATCTAATACTTAAACCAGTACAGATTGTAGGTCACTATCTCTCTCTCTTCTCTATCTCTTTTTCTCTCTCTCTCACCATATGTTTGAGTGTGTATAAATAAATATATAAAATGAAATACATTTATCGGTTTATATATAAAATACTGTGTATCATTGTAATAGTACGGTGTGTTATATGGATGCACATTAATTGCTGAGGCTTAAAAATTACTGTCAGGAGCCAGTGCTTTTCCTGCCCTTTCCTGCACTTTTTGGAAACGTTTGAATCCTACTACATTTTAGATTTCAGTTCAATACCACTTCCTCAAGTGGCTTCTCTGACCCTCAGTGCCAGGTCAGGCCTACATTTATTGTGAGTGGTGAATCTTCTTTCATTAATTTTGGTATATTTGATTAATCAAGTAATTGAGAACCACTTTCAGTAGGCATTTCTAATCTATGTATTCAAAGTATAAATTTTTAATGGAAAATACAAATTTTCTGTATCTCTACCAATCTATAAGGATCCTTCAAAGTACACGAAGTTCCCAATATATGAATAAGTTCCATTCTGAGAGCACGTTTGTAAAATTCAATTTGTTTTAAGTCCAACAAAGTTAACCTAGGTACCCAACTAACAGTTGGCTATATAGTACTGTATGTGCTTAACAGTCTATACTGACACTTTGTGGAAAGAAATAATACATAAGAAAAACAGGTGTGCATTGTCAAAGTTCATAACTCGAATGTTTGTATGTAGGGGACTTACTGTATTACCTCCACTATGAAGTCTTTGCTTATTGCTTTAATTGACTATATCCTGACCTTTCTTTAAATCTCTGAGTGATTTCTACCTTTCATAAGTTATATGATAATCTTCCCTTGTATTATGATTATTTTTTATTTATAATGTAAGCTTCTTTTAAGTTACATAGCACCCAGCACAATATTTTACACTTACAATTTTTTTCAGTAAATATGTTCTAGAAATATCTGTAGAATGCTGCAGTGTTAGGTGGTAGGAATTCCAGCGGGAGGGAATCTATAATGGGTGCAGTCCCCGAGTCTAATAGATTAAGACAAGTGAATATCTGTTCACAAATCGAGACAAGTGTCCTCAGGAAAATAACATCGTTTTATAAAAGAAAAGAGAAAAGAAACCTGCTCTGGCATTGAGGGTCAGAGAAGCCACCTTGAGGAACTGGTAGTGAACTGAAATCTGAAATGTGATGAATTAAATTTCCCCCAAAGTACAGAAGGAGGGCAGGAAAAAACACTGGCTCCTGACAGGAACAGCCTGATCAGAAGTCTTTATGGTGTCAGACAGGAAATGAAGGAAGACCCAAGTGGGTTCAGTGTGGAGAATGGCAAAAGGTAGGGAGGTGGGTGGAGACTTGGCTCTTGGGTCTTGCAAGCATGAGAGGAATGTTATCATCAAATGTGGAAATCCCCTGGAGACTTTTAAGTAGGACCCTGTGCAGGGGGCGTGGAAGTAAACAGTTTTGTGCTTTGAGAATGTCGCTCCATCAGCAGGAGAGGAGTTTGGAGGGGACCAAAGAGGGTGGTAGACAGGCTTGTGCAGTATTCCAGCTGGGAGCATCTCTGTGACTATATCACAAAATTTATTTATTTTTTGGTTTTAGGTAGATTTACATTTCTCCTGAAGATCACCTATCAGTATATCTCTCTGCTTATATGACTCTTGTGATACAAAAATAACTGCCGTGTATTATGTTTGTTTGTATAAATGGTCTGCCTTCTCTTCCTTTTCCTCTCCTTCAACAGATGATAAGTTCCTCAAGGGTATTGGTAGATTTTCATTAATTTTGAATTTAAAAATTAATTTCCTTCTTTTCCCCTCAGTACATATCGTGCAGTCATTCAGTGCTTATCCTTTAAACAGCAGTTGTGTGATTCTTTCCTGGATGCTATCACCCAGTGAATACAAACTAATGTATTTTATTGTTGAGTGGAGAACTCCTAATGAGGACAATGAAATAAAATGGCTTAGAATCCCTTCATCTGTTAAGAAGTATTACATCCATGGTAAGTCTGCTGTTAATAAGTTTCTCTCACGGATTAGCATGATACTACAGATCATTCATTCAATTAACATAACCGGTTAATGACAACTTCACATATATAGATGACACTACCACCCTAACACATATAATCCTATCACCTTACTGAAACATTTAATTTCATTTCCTTGGATGCTTTTTCATTTTAATACTTTCACAGTTGTAATCATATCATGTTTTCCTTCCAATCCTTTCTACTGTTACTTTTAGTGATCACACAGCATTTTATTCAAAAGTGTACTTAAACTGTTTATTTGAGATTATTTATGTTGCTCCTGGTTTTACCTTTTCTTAAACTATTTTTTAATGACTTCTGATATCTACTGCCAGTTTTCTTTTCCCCCCAAACTCTGTACCAACTTAAAATACCACTAGGAATGAGTAGAAGTGCCTAGACTTTTACTCAGACTAGTGTCTGAGGATCTAGTGCCTAGTGACCTAGAACAGTGTAAGCTGCTAATGGTAGACCAGTTATCCCAGGAGATGCATGAAGTACAAAGAATAAGCATACGATACAGCATGTTCATATCTAGGAAAGAATTAAGGGAAGCTAAGGATTGCTATGATCTTATAATACATTATTATTTATTCCAAGAACTCATACTTTTATTTCATTCCAGAAACCTAGAAGGCAGCATTAGCATAAATTGTTTGCAATTTTTTTTTAAGTGTGTCTCACTCTGTTGTCCAAGCTAGAATGCAGTGTCATGATCATGGCTCACTGCAACCTTGACCTCCTAGGCTCAAGGGATCCTCCCACCTTAGCCTCCTGAGTAGCTGAGCATGCACCACCATGCCTGGCTAATTTTTCTGTTTTTTGTAGAGAAGGGGTCTCACTATGTTGCTCAAGCTGGTCTTGAACTCCTGGACTCAAACAATTCTCCCACCTTAGCCTCCCAAAGTGCTGGGATTATAGGCATGAGCCACTATGCCCAGAATAATTTTTTGCAAATTACTGATGGAGAGCTGAATTTAGCTCATTACCACTGTTGTCCAGGTGGTTATTTCCTGTGCTTTTTAAAGACCCATGAAATCATTAAAGTTAGACTTCAGAGAGATCTACCTTCTTCCGGATCTACACTTATAGAAAAATACTCGTATATTATTAACATTTGTGAAAGCCATTGATAGATTCATTTATAACTTTGTTATCTGGAAGGTAATTTTCTATGAATTGAGTTTCCAGATTTTGCAAGAGGATTCCTGGTCTCCACCATCTTTTTCTTTGCATCATGAGACTATAATCTCCCAGCTACCCTGAGTAGGGAAATTAAGTAAGCTAAATTCCTATAAAAAGGGAATATTACCTGCTTTGGGCATAAGGAAGAGGTGATAGAACATATTTCCCAGGAGAAAGAAGTGAAGGGAAGAAACAGCTCATACACTCTGTACTTGGACAAACTGGCTATCATTGAAACATGCCTTTGGAAAATTACAATCTTCTATCTCTGGGTAAGATTTGAAAACAAAACAAATTTGGGGCAGGGCGTGGTGGCTCTTGCCTATAATCCCAGCATTTTGGAGGCCAAGGTGGAAGGATTTCTTGAGTCCAGGAGTTCAAGATCAGCCTAGATAACATAGCAAGACCTTGTCTCTACAAAAGTATTTTAAAAATAGCCAGGTATGGTGGAGTGTGTCTGTAGTCCTAGCTACTCAGGAGACTGAAGCGGAAGGATTGCCTGAGCCCAGAAAGTTGAGGCTGCAGTGAGTTATGATCACCTGCTGTATTCCAGCCTGGGTGACAGAGTGAGACCTGACCCCCATGTCCCAAAATCTGGAAAATTATTATCATTACTAAATTTGGAGTGCTTAGTTTGTTTTGAAACTTCTTAATCATCAATTTAATACATAAATAACAACTGATTTCTATGTTTGGAAATATAGGATAGCTAGTTTTTAAAAACATGTTCTTCTTATTAATTAAATATAAATGAAACTTAAATATTTTTCTCCTCAGATCATTTTATCCCCATTGAGAAATATCAGTTCAGTCTTTACCCGATATTTGTGGAAGGAGTGGGAAAACCAAAGATAATTAATACTTTCATCCAAGGTAAAATTTATAATTTTAGTTTATTTTTACACCAATGTGTGTTTCTGAATTTTTTTGCCACCTGACTATTCTTTCTCTGATAGAATTATGGAAAAGTCCAGAGTCTTATGTAGATGTGTTATTGGTGGTTCTAAAGGAAATATTTTTTCCCTTACCTATAAAACTGGAGATATGGAAATAAACTCATTGGGCTTCATTTATTTCTGATTTATCTTATCATACTTGGAGTACCAACATTTTGATTTTTTATTATTTTTTAAATTGTCTTCACATCCAAGCAACCCAACAACAAAGTGTGAAGAGAGAAACATCTCTGGTTTTAGAATAAAAACAACTTTTAAACTCATACATGGATTATTTGATAAATCTTTATTGAGCATTGTTCTAAGCACTGGGGATTGGGGATTGAATAGTGAACATCAGTTTCTGCCCTTAATGAAGTTTACACTCCAGTGCTCTAATGGCAAGGATGGGCAATAGATACATTATGTATAATAGAATGTCACATAGAAATAAGTGCGTAAAGGAGAATAAAAGCAAGATGAAGGGATAGTTAGAATGTGGTGTTTTAGTCAAGAGAGCCAAAAATGGTCTTTCTTGGCCGGGCTCGGTGGCTCAGTCTGTAATCCCAGCACTTTGAGAGGCCGGGTGAGTGGATTGCCTGAGCCTGCAGGTCTGAGACCTGCCTGGGCAACTTGGTGAGACTTCATCTCTAAAATAAATCAAAAGGTTAGCCGGGCATGGTAGCGCACACCTGTAGTTCCAGCTACTTGAAAGGCTGAGGCGGAAGGATCGCCGGAGCCCAGCAGGTCGAGGCTGCGGTGGTTGGGAGCGGCCACTGCACTCCAGTCTGGGTGACAGAGTGAGACTCCAACTCAAAAAAACAAAACAAAACCCCAAATGGTCTTTCTGTGGAGGTGATGTTTACTATTAGTAAAGCCCTGCAGATACAGTAAATGCTCCCTTAACATCACTGACAGGTTCTTGGAAACTGCAACTCCAAATAACAGAACGTGTAGCAGATCCTCGAACAATGCGCTTTTGTTCAAGGTAGTTTCTTGTTAGAGCTGGCAGAAAAAAGAAATTGGTTTGGCTATATGTCTCTTCACTTAAAGTCGCAGTTTCTGAGAACCTGTCCATGAGAATTGAGGACTTACTGTGCAAAGAGGAAGAGCATTCCAGGATCAGGGATAGTGTGTACAGAGGCCCTGAAGAGTCAGTGAGGAGGGGTCGGTGTGTCTGGAGTGAACAAGACTGGAAGGTGCGAAGACTGGGCCCACCAGAGACAGAGTTATCGTAACAACCTCACTCGATACTGTGACTCGTGTAACCTAAAAATGATCAGATTGAGAGGACTGGCAGATAAATAATTTTGAGAAAATGTTTTGCTAATTTATAATCAGTGTGATACCAAACAAATAATAAGTCTTTTATTAATATGCTGATATCATCCTTTTGTCTTGCACTTTTAAAGGTAATAGAGGTTTAAGATGAAATCTGGAAAAAGTATACTATAATTTTTGATGCAGAGTGATTCATATTTCTTCAGGCTTCTGAATTGTATGAATTGTATTTCTTTTTCAGAAGACATTGAAAAACACCAGAATGATGCTGGTCTCTATATAGTTGTACTGATAATTATTTCCTCTTTGGTCTTATTGCTTGGAACATTGCTAATATCACACCAGAGGTACTGTACTTGGTGTTACGAGTCTCTGTGGCAAAAGTCCTTAAGCATAGTTAAACCTAGATTTAAAATCTAAATTAGTAATATTAAGTCTCCTGAATGTTTTTCTATGTATTCAGTATATAATTAAGATGGCATGAAAAAGAAAGGCCTGCTTTTAGGAAATGACATTCCATTTTGCTAGAATTTACATAAACATAAACCTCAGAAAGAATTTAGTTTTTAAAATACACACACATTTAGAAAATAGCAGACGTCCAGCAGGAAATCATAGACAAGATGTTCTCCGAGGTGGCAAATGTGGCTTTCAGAGTCCTGCTGTTTGGGCCAGGGACTTTTCGTGGTGAAGTGGAATTCAAAAGTAGATTTCTTTGAAAGATTTCTGGAGCAGTCAGTTCACTTATGATCAGCAGACACTCTGCTTTTTAGAGATCAGTGCTGCATGGCTGCAGTCTGTCTGGTTTGTCAGGCAAATGGCCTTGAATTCCCAGGATGGTTCTATGGGTGCCACATTACTCTGTGCTGAGAAGTCCAGACCAATGAGGTTATTTTACACAAGCCAAATCTCTGTAGAAACTTTTGTCTTCTAGTAAAAATGAAGGAAAATATATTTTAGAATCTGAATTTATCTTCTAGTCAAATGAGTTGATGGGCCCATATCAAGTGGAATTATTTCTTACATTCAGTTGATGGTCATTTTTAATATTTCATTGCTAAACCTATGCAATGTTTAGCACAGGACTTGGCCCACAGCTTTCAGTAATCTGTATTATTATAGTGATTATTAACCTTGGTCTAAAGAGATGTTTGGTGAAATCTTCATGGGCTGGCATGTGAAAATGAATCTGACCCTATTAGACATAGTGAATCTGGTTGACTAGTTTCTAGTTTGTATATTTGTTAACTGTTAACATTTTCAATAAGAATGTTTTTCTGTAATTCTGATGCCTTGTTTATCCTTTGTAGAATGAAAAAGCTATTTTGGGAAGATGTTCCAAACCCCAAGAATTGTTCCTGGGCACAAGGACTTAATTTTCAGAAGGTCGTTTTTTCTATTTTTTTAACCCAGAATGTATAAGATAGCATTTTAGATGCCATGTAATTTCTAGGGCTTTAAACATTTTTAAGTTTTAGAATTTTTTTTTATTCAATTTATTTTAATATGTCTGTTTATTATATATTTTAAAGAATAGTAGGATGCAGGGATTTGAAGCCAGGAGGAAACAAAATTCAGTATATAGTTTGTCATATGAGAGTTTGCAATATACATCTTAATATACCTAATTAAATAAATATTTAGAATATAAAGGGTCAAATCTGCTGTATAACAGATATTTGGATACACTTTTTTGGTATACATCATCTATAGGCAAAAGGCTGGAATCAATATTGTAAATCTTTATAGTTATCTCCACAATTATTTAAATACATTCAAAAATTATATAGATAAACTCATCCTTAAACACTACAATCTGAAAAATACAATTATCATAATACTTATATTTGCATAGATATTCTCATTCAAGTGAGAGTACTTTATGAGATCATCAACTGTAGTAAGATAACTTGTACTTCTAAATAGAGTTTTTCCAAAAACTCTAGAGTTCAAATAATTTTTTTATTAATTACTGTAATATCCCTTGGAGTAAGGCTGGCTTTTGATCCATAAAATTAGAAAAATAGAATTCAAGTTTTCATGTCAAAGTACACAATTTATTTTTTTTTTCGAGTTGGAGTCTTACTCTGTCTCCCAGACTGGAGTGCAGTGGCCGCTCCTGGCCACCACAGCATCAACCTGCTGGGCTCCGGCGATCCTTCCGCCTCAGCCTTCCAAGTAGCCGGAATTACAGGCATGCGCTACCACGCCTGGCTGATTTTTTTTGATTTAATTGTAGAGATGAGGTCTCGCCAAGTTGCCCAGGCAGGTCTCGAACCCGCAGGCTCAGGCAGTCCACTCGCCTCAGCCTCCCAAAGGCGCGGGATTACAGGCTGAGCCACCGAGCCTGGCCAAAGTACACTATTTTTTAAAAAGTACTTATTTGAAGCTTAATAGGCAGTTTCAATGACTGCATTTTTATCATTAGTCATTTGATAAAAGTCTTTAGCAGTTTCCTTTTGGCTACAAGATATAATGCAGTCCCCTTAAGCTAGTACTTAGCGACCTCTCTCTATAATCTATTATCAACCTACATATATGATTTTTTTCTGTGTCTGGCCCTGATCATGCTTTTACTATTCCCTTTCACCCACACAGAGCCTTCAACATCAATGAAGATCTTAATCTAGTCCCTTTCCCCCAAAATCTTCCTTTAACAAATGTAATTCAGATCATTTCTACCCTATTTAGTTTCCTAGATCATTTTATTGTTTAATGTATTTTAAATAGTACTCTGAATTGAAAGCCTATGTTTTAGCTGTCACAAATATTTGTTGGGACTTCTCCTGCTATGTGCAAGGTAATAAAGAGAGTACTCATTAAGTATATGCTAGTCATATATAATAATAGTGCCCATTATGTACAAATCACTGAGGTACATACTCCTATACTCATAAAGATTTTTACTTAAACTCTCAGTTTTCTCTCCTGTAAGATAAAGCTAATAGTACTTACCTTATTGGGTTGTTTGGGTGATTAAAGAAGATGGTATTTGTGACATAGTAAGGGCTCAATACATGTTAGTTATTATTTTACACATTTACATATTTCACATTATTATTATTCTTTCAGTTACCCTGTGGGATAAGTATTATTATCTCAATTTTATAGAGAGAAAACTGAAGCTTATAGTGGCTGGATAATTTGTTTTAGAGCCAAGATTAGCTTATCATTTTGTCTGATTTTGAAGCCTATTCTGATAGCAGCAGTTCTCTTTAGCAGTGACTTTTTTTTTTAACTATGACCCACTCACATTGAGAAATATATTCTGCTTTGCAATCTAGTACACACATAGACATAGATATGCAAAATTGAAAGATGCACAAAACAGTTGTACTACTTTCTTGAAATAAGATGTTTTAAAGTTCTATTTTATTTGTTTAAGACACTGATTGCAACCCACTAAATTAGCTTCACATTTGAATGGCCCATGATTTGCCCTAAAAGTACATTGCTCCATAGCTTTATAATGAATGAAAAAATGAGTAATATTGTAGACATAATGAACACTGCAAAAAATTGAGTTGTCGTCTTTCAGCAGAAGAAACAATGCCCTGACTTCAGAAGAGACAGCAGTGTAGTCATATATGTAAATCATTCTTTTTATAGAAATTTCTTTTTGCCTGAGTCTAACCAGTCACACACTATACACGTCTCACCTGTGCTGTTCACCATAAGCTGAGTCTCCTGCCGTTAAAACAGAGCTGCTGATTTTTTTCCAATTAATAGAATATTTGCTCTTATTTCTCTTTCATTATGAATTCATATAGTAACATTTTTATAGTTATGGTGATAGTTCAGGCATAGATATGTCAATTATTTGACAAGCACATAGCAAATATTTTTAGGGAAGGCTAGGCTCTGAGGCAAGAGATAAGCGTTCATAAACTTATCATGGAAATAACCTTACAGTTTTTTTATTGTACACATTTATGGGAGGGGGTGTATAAGAAATTTCATGACAAGTATACAGTATATAGTGATCCAGTCATAGCCTTGCAGTGATAAACTGTATGTTGTGAAAGAAAGGGACATGCTGTGCTAAGAGCTTATAATGTGGAGACCTGGCATTGTGTGCTGGAAGCAGGTGAGTGGGTAAAGTTAAAAAAAAAATGGTATTTGACCAAGAACTGGTTGATGAATAGTCATTAGCTAGATTATCAGGGCAAGGAAATGATCAGGCCCACATGAGCAAAATACAGGCTGAACCTGTACCAAATTACTTTTCCCTTTTCCAGAAAATTCCTAGCATGAAGGCACTACTGGCACTACTGGGAGGAGGTGGGTTGAATTAATGCATGTTCATAGACTGTGCCCTGCCCCACTGTCTGTCCCACCTGCACTCTCGAAAGATGAGCCCACGGCGGCAGCAGGTCGTCTGACAGATGTTATGTACAAGTAGATTTAAATATCACCAGTTTCTTCCAGTTGCTGGTCAAATGGAAGAAATGTGAAGCATTTCCAAGATACTATGGATGAGAATGTTCTCATTTGTGGGACTGATTGTTTTTTAATCTCTGCAAATATTTGACTTTCTAACCTTATAAGCTATTTCTAAGCACAGTAGTACTTAGTTTATTATTAGGGCCTTACATGTACATAAATAATACTATTAAGAATAAATCAGGTTTTGGAATAATGAGGTCATTTAAAGATTGAAGAAGAATATAACTTCAAAGATTTTGTTAAAGATAAAACATCTAAAATTCAGTAACTTTTTTCTATCTAGGCTTCTGCTTCAATCTCCTACATAACTAAAACTTACTTTTTTAAGGAAAAATAATATAGTATAGCACACTTTAAATTACCAAATTTATTGTTCACCATATGCTTTCATATTCATATTTTTAAATTTAATTGTCTAATAGGGCTAATAACCTCATCTTTTCTGATGATAAACTGAGGCATGGAATTGTTCAGGAGCTTTATTGATTACCCAGACTGTACATGTAAAAACCACAGTTCAAACCCAGATCCATATAAGCTCAGCATCATTAGACATTAGGGAAATTCCTATAAAAACACAAGGTACCACTTCATACCCATTAGGATGGCTGTAATAAAAAAGACAATGAGTGATGGTGAGAATGGACAGAAATTGGAACTATCATCCACTACCAGTGGGAATGGGAAATCATGCAGCCCTTTTGGTATATAGTCTGGCAGTTCTTCAAAAGGTTAAACATAGAATTATATAAGCCAGGAATTCCACTCCTGGGTATGTACCCAATAGAAATGAAATCATAAATCCACATGGGTTCTTGTACATGAATATTTGTAGCAACATTGTTCATATTAACTGAAACACAAAAGCAACCCAAATGATTAATGAATAAGCAAAATGTGATATATCCAATTCTAGAACAAACAAAAACTCCACAATATATTGTGACAGATCAGAGGCACCTATTATTTTTTAAAAACAATTCAAACATGAATGCAGTGTTTTAAAAAGAGAGCAATAATTTTTATGTAAAATATTTCCCTTAATTTCCTTTCTAAATTTAGATTTTTTGATCATTGAGTGTTATGAAAGATACCTGTAGATACCTGCTAGATACCTGTAATTCCTAGACATTGAACCTGATTTTTAAAATCTTTCCTATAATTAGTCTATCCCACTTTTTTTTTTGCTATTCCCCAAGAAATTTTACTGTTATATTGGTACATGTAATCACACTATAGTTTTTAATTCTGAGGTTACCGAATTCACAAATAACTGCAAAGAACTGAGCAAAGTAGAGGAATAAATGATACCTGATAACAACCCAACAATAACTGTTAAAATCATTAATGGAATTTCTTCTAAATTAAAATCATCCAGAAAATAAATTCCAAAAGAAAATAATCTAATCTTAATTTTTATATTTAGGAATAATATCCTCCTGTCTTGACACAATTCCATCAGTGCCTAACTACATTTTTAACCAAAAAATACTGTTCATGGCCAGGTCTCTTTTAAAAAGAAATTCCCCTCCTCTGCTTTTCCCGGGTCTGTCCCAGAGTCACATTCAGATTCCCATCTGTGAACCTTTAGCCAATACTGGAAAGTTCTCTAGAACATGTTATAAAATAAAACTTTGGACAAATTAAACTTTCTGAGAAAGTTTAAGAAAATGATGGAGGAGTCATCATATAAAATGGATTTAAGATACTATTTTTGAATACATTTGTATAAATGTAAGGAAATGTTTCACCTGCTAATATATTTTCAAAGGTTTAGGTAAGCATTTAATTTCTCTTTTTATTTTCATAAAAATGACAGTATCTTATTTTTTCTGAGTATATTTGCATTTCTTTAATAGTCACATTTTTTCAGCTTTATGGAGGTACAGTTGACAAAAATCGAACATAAACTATATACATGTATTTATAACCATTGAACTGCAAGCTTAAAAATGGTAAAGATGATAAATTATATATGCATATTACTCTCAATTTTCAAAAAAATGAAGATATTTAAGGTATACAACATGGTTTGAGATTAGTCTATCCCTCTTTTGCAGCTATTGTTCTCCTTCTCTTTGGGTTATATTACATCTATACTGACCCAATAAATATGCTAACCAAAGATGTAAAAAAGCCAATATTTTGATATATCTCCAAAGAGAAAAATGAAAACAAAACATTTATGAAAACCACTGTAAGCCAGACATTGCTAATAACAATATTGTGATATTATATGTGATTAAAAATTCCACCAACGTCGTTTCCCCCAGATCTTCTTTCTTTTGTGTGTTCCACTTTCTTTTCCCCTTTAAAGTTTATTCTTCAGATAATATAAACACATTAAAATAGAATAAGATAAAAAGTTTTATACTAACACAGTATCTTAAAATTGTCCGTATTTTCCTCATTTTAAAAATAAACAAAAACTTCAAGTACAGTTTGCCCTTCTTGTTCCTCTCACTATTCCCAGCACCTCCTTTTCTTCCTAGAGGAGACTGTTTTCAAGAATATGGTCTATGTTTGTCTGGTGTGTGCGTTTATGCTTTCCTGCCTCCACATGTGCATATCCATGACCAATGAACAGTAATCCTTTGGGGTATTGTCAATCTTAATAAACCTTCCATATCATTCCCAAACCAACATACTTTGGTTGGGAGGCTAAAGCAAAAGACAAGGGGATGTTTTTCTTGGGATCTACAAACCATTTTAGATTCCTCAGCTTGTGCTAGGCTTCCAAAGAAGCAGCTCAACCACAACCCACAGAGCTAAATCTGAAGCATCACTGAAATTGCTAGATTGACCTTGCAAACATTTGGAAAAGCTGGTGCATTTTGTAGTTAGAAGTTCAGTTTGTAGTAGCTGTCTCCTCTGTGCTTTGAACTGTGATTTACTGGACTTAGGAATATCTATTTCACTCTACAAAAATGTGACTTCAGTTTTGTTGATTTTCTTGTTCCTTATAGCCCTCAGGTTACCTTTATCACAGCAAGTAGTAAAAGGAGGACAAAGAGCATGTTTTCTGTCTATTTATGTGCGGGACATCTTTTCGTCTTCCATTGTGTTATAGAAAGATTGTTGGACTAGAAAAAAGAACTAAGTCAGGATCCTCACTCTGTTTGAATTATCTGTATAACCTTTAGTCAGTAATGTTGGCAGGCTTTTGCTTTGTCTGCAAATTTGGCTTCAATTGCTTAGTCTAAAAAAAGGGAGAGAGAGAGAGAGAGAGAGAGAATTGGGCCATATGATTTCTTAGATCTTATTTCTAGATTTTAAAAAAACCATGATAATCATTCTGTAATACTATCCTTCAGTATTGTAGCCCTTCTTTATCTTTATTTTTTAATTTTTCATGTCATGGTTCTGCTTTTTTACCTATCTTATTCCAAGCTCTCCTATATTGCTGTTGATTACATCCCCTTTTTATTGTCTCAGCTCTTTGTTCTTCACTCTATTTACTTATTCTGTTATTCCTCTATATTTTTTCCTTTTCTGGGATAATTAAGACTGTCTTTAGAGTGGGATATTAAAGTATCCATTAAGAAAATGGGAGAAGCCACCTTAGTTCAAAATTTTCCCCTTTCCTAAAAGGATACATTAGTGTAATGTAACACAAAAATTTATAGTCCAGAACCAATGCTTGACAGAAAATGTTTTTGAAATATTTTATTTTTTGCTAAGTGATTTTTTATTTTATTTTCTTATTGTTTTTTATTTTATCTAAACAGAGAACGGACATTCTTTGAAGTCTAATCATGATCACTACAGATGAACCCAATGTACCAACTTTTCAACAGTCTGTAGAATATTAGAAGATTTTTACATTTTGAAGAAGGGGAACAAATCTTTAATAAAATTTGGTTGAACTTTTGAGAACTAACATATGGTGGATTTTGTTGATTTAGAAAAAATAGATGTGTAATTTCGGGGTCAAGATACAGGTTTGAGTCCAGTTCAGTTTGGATGTATGATTAATTTTCAGGTCATTTAAAGTTTAAAAGTAATATTGATAATTTCTGGCTTTTAACTTATCATTTTCCAGGTCATAAAACATTAAAAAATTATGACTGCTGCTGTCATTGCATATCTATTTGATATTATCAAATATAGACAATGTTGTCACTTGGTGAGCTCTAAAACTGCAACTTCTGACACATAGGTTTGCAAATACAATGAGTCTAATTCCAGAATCAGTGAAAGTATTTAGTTTATATTTTCATGTCCAGAGTTTTCCATCTTAAATTCCTTTATAGATACTTCAGTCTATAAATTGACCTAGTCAGATGTTCTTTTGAATATCTCGTAACTTTTTTGTATCTAACTTTGGTCAATCTGGGAATTTCAATTTTCAGTAGACTTGAAAATGGGTTAAGTGCTAATTGCCATTTAAGTTCAAAGAAAGCTAGAAGTTGTGATTTGTGCTGGTCACAGGCCAGTGGAATTTACAGTTCATATCAGGATGACCCTACATATGCAGGTCAGATTGACCAGATTAGAAAAGAATATCAGTGTTCATCTGGCCTCTTTTTGAAATTTTTGTCTAAATCTAATTTTTTTCCACTGAACCATCAAAGACTTCTGGCAGGCAGGGAAGTGAACAGTGATGCAAGAAAGGGGAACTCTTTGGTGCCTCTTTGTTCATGGTGAGGATAGGGCTTTTCTACCTGAAAAAAGACCCCTTGCTAGTTGTATAAACTTGGCAGATGAAGTGTGCTGTGTTGCTCACATTCAGTCCAAACCAAAGTCTCTGTTTGATGAACCCAAATAATATTCAAACTTAAGAGATATATGAATCCCTTCCATGTAGATTTTATTCATAGTTTTTTTAGAATGTAAAAAAAAGGACACTAAAAAACAGGAAGAATATGTTTTTCCCCCTTCATTGACCACTACCAGATGTTGTTGGAATGCAAAATCTAAACATGAAATTATGAAAGGATATTTCTTAATTCCTACCAGCTGAATACATACTTAATATGTGCCCAAGCTGATCTAAAATCTAAAATAAATAGATACATATAGTGGAATCATTTTTTAAATGAACATACTTATAATAAAGTTTTGTGACTCATGGATAAAATATATTTCATAATGTATCAGTATGTGATTCCTTATTGTTAGTGAAATATTCCATTTGAATGCACAATATTTGATTTCAACTATTAGTTACCAATTATAAAGTTTTAGAGAGCATGAAATATATTAAACACAAAATTTGAAGAGTGTATGGGAGTTTGACTGCATGTTATGGGATATGTCTATGTATTTTGTTTTCATATTGGTTTTGTCTAATTCCTTCATTTAGCAATTTTATTTCTAAGTTCATTTAAATTTTAAGACAATTCAATGCATCTGTAGTAGAAACCTTAAGAAAAACAAAATAAGCAAGCAAATATTTGAAAGAAGTCATAAATCTATAGACTTCTATCAGATAAAAATAGGCACAGAAATAATTTTCATATATTATGTTTGTAGAATAACAGAAAAAGTAGTGTTAACATAGTATTTGTCGTTTTGCAGCATTTTAATACCTATATAACTCTATTTCATTTTATATTAAGCGTTTGGTATATTTATTCATTTATGTTTTTAGTCACTAATATATATTTCACCTAAGAGCTTAAAATATGCTAAATAAATTGTATTTTTATATGGAATATACTTACCATTATGTAGAACAGCTGGATATACCATTATTTCAGGCAATACATCTGAATTCTATTTGTTTAAAAATTGTAAAATCCAAAAGCTAAATCGCATGTATGGTATATCAACTGAACATATATTCTATAGCACTTAATTTGAGTTGTGTTAATTTTTAAATGTGATGTATCAAAGTATTTTTTTATTTGGCATTTATTTTTTCAATGTGTTTCCATTGTATAAATCGAGCTTTTGCACAGAGATTCTTGATTTGTAGTTGCTTGGCAGGAGTTTTGTTGTGATGTAACCATCATTTCTATAAAAAATATGATGTACATTTGTCTTGTGTATTTGTCTTCATTCCACATGTCCCATACCATATATTTTTATATGAAACTATTCATAAGGTATAGTAATTGTAAGTCTGTGATCATCTCTTTCACTATCATTGCTTTAAAAAATAGATATTATTAGTTTTTGTTTTCAGAGAGTCTCAAGCAGATTCTCAATATCATGTAAGGCAGATCAGTTCCTAACAGTCAGTCACAATTATTTTACCTTTGTGCCATATCTTATATCATAAAATAGTTATTTTGACTATTTTTGGAGAAGGTTTTTTGCTCATTTGATTTTATTTCAACTTGCTTTTTCTGCTTAGGGCTTAAAATTTCAGCTGTGGAAATGGAATTTACTGTAGAGTATTCAGAATTCTCCAGAAGATAGCATTTTCTAGTTACAGTAACCAATCTTTATTGAGTGCGGACACTAATTTATTTTTGACCACCACACCATAAAGCAAGTGTTGAGCACATTTTTACAAATAAAGAAACTGAGAGACAGAGAGGTTAATGTACTTGCTCATGGCCGTAGAATTAGAAGAACTCAAACCTAAGTCTGTCTTGTCTCAATTTTAAACACTATCTTAAATTGCCTCTCCTTTATGATTTTTGAGGTTTCTGTTTTAGTTCAAAACTAGTTGATTTGTGGTTGACTTATATCTTTTATTATTAACCTTGCACACTTCCATTTCTGCCAGCATGACATAGTGAAGCAAACATTTTAATATAATTGAGCATTAAAATATGTCTTTCCTTTTAGCCAGAAACGTTTGAGCACCTTTTTTTCAAGCATACAGACTCAGTGACTTTCGGTCCTCTTCTTTTGGAGCCTGAAACCATTTCAGAAGACATCAGTGTTGATGCCTCATGGAAAAATAAAGACGAGATGGCGCCAGCAACTGTGGTCTCTCTGCTCTTGGCAACTTCAGATCTTGGAAAGCGTTCTTTTTGTGCTAGTGACCAGTGCAACGGTGCTAACTTCTCTGATGCTGAGGGCACCGAGGTAACCTGTGAGGACGAAAGCAGGAGACAGCCCTCTGTGAAATATGCCATGCTGGTCAGCAACTCCAAATCAAGTGAGACGGATGAAGAACAAGGACTTATAAATAGTTCAGTCAGCAAGTGCTTCTCTAGCAAAAATTCTCCCTTGAAGGATTCTTTCTCTGACACCTCATGGGAGATAGAGACCCAGGCATTTCTTATATTATCAGATCAGCATCCCAAAATAATTTCACCGCATCTTACCTTCTCGGAAGGACTGGATGAACTTTTGAAAATGGAGGGGAATTTCCCTGAGGAAAATCATGATGAAAAGTCTGTCTATTATTTAGGAGTCACCTCGGTCAAAAAAAGAGAGAGTGATGTGTTTCTGACTGATGCATCAAGGGTATTGTATCCATTCCCAGCCCACTGTTTATTCACTGACATCAGAATCCTCCGGGACAGTTGCTCACACTTAGTAGAAAATAATTTCAACTTAGGTACTTCTGTTAAGAAGACTTTTGTATCTTACATGCCTCAGTTTCAAACTTGTTCCACTCAGACTCATAAGATAATGGAAAACAAGATGTGTGACCTAACTGTGTAATTTCTTTGAAGAAACCTTCAGATTTGTGTTATAATAGGTCATATAAAGTGTCATATATTACTTTACAGTTGTGAATGGGAGAGAGAAAAGAAACCAGTTAGAGAATTAGAAAATATTTGTTCCAACATTAACGTTGTCTGTTTGTCCTCTCAGTAATGTGGACAAAAAATTGTGAAAGTCTTCATAAGCCTAGCAGTTGTTGATGGACTCTTCTAATCATTCGGTTCCCAAGCTCCAGTGGGATGGTCTCTTATTTCTAGCTAGAAAGAAGCCCAAACATCCCATCTGTTGTGAACATTAGACCCATGTAGAAAGAGTTCGCCTTCTGTATTACACCTATATCTGACAGAAGGCTTCGAATTAACATTGGTGAGATGTCATTGTTGTTTCAGTGTTGTGCTTCTTTTTATCTTCAGTTGTCTTTATCTTGCACTAATTCATACACACACATACACAGATTTATGCTTATCAGATGTCCTTGTATATTTTGAGAGTATGTGATATGTCTGTGTTGTGTGCTATCAGACTGTGTGATAGGGAAGTCTGGACGCTTCCCTCCATGTTGAAGATAGAGAATTTAGCCCTGATCTAAGGGGTAATACTTGTGAAGATTAATAAGTAAGCCAATCATTAAGTACCAACTCTAAGATACTTAACATAGAATGAAACCACCTATGAGAATGGCAATACCCACAAGTGTTTTGAGCACTTTTGAAAAAATAATGTAGTTCTAACTCTTTTCTCTAAAAGATTTTGAAGTGTTCCCTTTCTGATGCAGTCAGATTGCCAGATGTCACTGTGTATAACTCTGGGATCTTTGTCTTTCCCCATTTCCATTTCCATGTACACTCATTTTTTCCTCACTGAGCATTCTCTCTGGGTAAACCAACCACTGTGCAAGTACTTTACTTCAACTCATTTAATCATTGCAAAAATTGTATGAGACATGTATCATTTTTGTACTCCCTTTAAAAATTAGGAGATTAAGTAATTTGCCTGAGGTCACTGTTAGTGGGTGATGGAACCAGAATTCAGATTTAAACCTAGATTTTGTTAATGCTAGTGATTAGGTTTTTGACCTATACCTTATGTTGGCATGCATTTATAAAAAAACTGACTTGTAATCAGATAAAACGTATTAATGCTGGATGAAAAATTATGAAAGAATGGATGTCAGGTTTGTCTTTAAAGACTTTTAGATTAATGTGGAGATTAGTTATTTATTCAACTTTTGCTATGGTAAGAAAATTCAAAGACAGCACTTCGGGCAACAAACTAAATTAAGAAATCTGCACATATAGATATTCAATCGCAAGAAGTAAGAAGTTCAAGATTATTAGTACATAAAGATCCTTTGTGCTCAAAAATATGTGTATGGATTGCAAACATCATCAGCACTTCATACTTGGATGGAGACAGGATTCTTCTGATTTTTTTGCTACTCTAAATAAATCCCTACATTCCATCTCTATTCCAGTTGTGGTCACATGAAGTGAGCAGTTCTAAACAATGACAAAGATTCCGGACCCCAGCTGATAGTTGTTTTTCATACTTCATGATCATTCGCCACTCAGAAATCAATAAAGTTTCTGTTCTGTTGTTCTGTTTCATCATGTAAGTTTTGTTAAGATGTCTCAGGATCTCACATACCAACTCATTAATGAGTGTGATATGAAAGCTCTGTGTAACAATAAATGGAAGTTTTCTTTCGTTGATAATGTTATGTGACTTAATAAATTCAGAAACAGGCACAATATTCTATGTATGGAACTTTTGGAAAAATTGACTCATTTTCATACATGCTTATATAATATGGACATTTAATTGAAGGTACAGTATAGAAAAGACAGAAAATTAAATTTTGCCCACCTCTGTGCATAATTGGAGATTAACCTCTGAGCATGTCTACTGAGACACCATTCTTCTGTGATCTGGGATCCAGCACAACAGTAAAGAAAAACCAGTACATGTTCCAATCAGCCAAAGGATGCACCTTGCTACGTGTACGCTGGAGTGAATTCAGAAGTTCCAGGACCACCGTAGTGCGACTGCTGGACTGAGTTAAAGAAATCAAGTGATGACACATTAACCTGAGATCATTGATACCATTCTGGTACAGTTTCAGATCCCCAAATAAGCAAACAAACAAAAGAAATTTCAAAAATAAAATTCCAATGTAATTTCTTTATGGAAAGAACCAAACTAGTGTAGTTTGGCTTATTGATAATATAGTTAGAGATCATATTTATTATCAGTGGGCTTGAGTTTTGATTTCCACATTTGAGAGTTTATTTCATTATATATAATATAATGTTTTATTTGGTTCTAGTAAACATTATCTGCTATAAATAGGGGATTCTAATACAATTTAGAGAAAATTTAAATGTTTTGTATTTCAGATGGTCAGATACTCTCCATTTCTTCTCAGGACTTCTGTAAAAAAAATTAAGAGGAGGAGGAGCTGAAATATAGGCTTTGGTCTTCTAAGCTTATAAATGTAGACTAAAATATTTCATTTAGAGACCTTCAATTGAAACAAGATACTGATCAATCTCTCTGAATCTAAACTTCATGAAAAGCAACTCAAAAATTAATAATTTGAGCTATGGTTTCAAGTTTAAACAGATGGTTTGAAAATAAATCATATGTCAGTGTTATCTGGATTATGTTTCTTAGCTTAAAACACCCAAGAGCAAAGATGAAAAAAGGTGAGGAGTCCTAGGTCTCATTTAGAGATAAGTTACCTGTTGACAAGAGAAACAAGAACAGTTATTCTTTTCTTTTTAAACTTAGTCTTCAAGTCATAAAAGGGCTGGACAAACTTCTCTAGCCAGTGAGAGATCCTGGACTTAGAATGAGGTTTCATAATATGTGCATGATATTCTTCTTTCTCTCATCCTCTTCCAATAAACCAACTCCCTCTTGCCTAATAGCATACATATGGTCGCCTTCCTTCAGGAATACTCAGATTAACTACACAACAGTTGAAAGAGGATACACCTTGGACTGTAAACGTCGTTGGGAATTGTGCTTACGGGGTTCACAGGTGGAGTGGAGAACATGTAGCAGCCATCAAGTTCTATGTCATTGAGCTGTGGATGAGAAAAGACCTCTTTCGAAATTATTTTCTGTGATCTTGAAAGAAATTTCTGCTTCTTTTTTCTTTCAAATGTCATCTTGATACTTACTTTACCAAAGTCTTCTAAACTATGTTGAGAAAGCCCATTCTCAAATTTTAAATCACAAAATTAAGATCGTCCACTCTACTATGATTGAAATAAGCCACATTTGAGAAAAATTACACGTAGTTAGCAAAAAAGCAAAGTACTAATTATAAAAGGAAGCTATATAAATTAGTAATTTTACTCTTGAACAACTATTTTTAAAACAGTAAAGCATTCCTGTACCTAATTACAATGTTGGGGGGATAGTTTAAATTTTAAGGCCTGTATTAGAGCTGAGATATTGTTACATGTATCTGTATAAGCATCAGGAAATTATTTCCATGGGGTTTTCTATTGAACGAAAAAATTTTATATAAAGTTTCCCAGTGTCTATTTTGGAAGCTGCTGAAAATGTCTGTTTTTCACAATTAATTTGTTTAAGATGTATGGCAGTAAATTCGATTTTATGAGGATCTCTGACAGAATAATAGTACGTTTACTCAAAAGACCTGGAACTGAGAATGAATTTGGAAGATATTTAATTTTGTACTAAAATATCTATAATGTAGATATTGTACTTTAAAACTTGTCATTAAGTGTTTGGTATGCAGTTAACACTTTCTCTTTAGTCATAATTAGTATGTTAATAAATGTGGTAAGTGATGAGATGCTCATTTCTCATTGTACTATAAAATTTAATCCTCCTAATTCTCCTTTATGTCCCTAAGGTCGTAGAGAAATCAGTGTACCTTACAACTGTATTTTCATCTTTTTATTATTATGAATCATAAACCATGTTAAAATTTTGAGAAGTAAAAATTCAAATAGAATTATTATGAATTTAAGTTACTTTAGGATTATTTTGTCCATTGTATGATAAGTAACAATGATAATATTTTAGCCAACATTTGAAAATATAAAGATGTAATCCGTAGTTTATATAAATAGCTGATTTAACATTTTCACCTGTTGCTAGTTAGCTTTTAACTGTGTTTCAAGAATTCCTACAAATATGTGCTTTGCATTTGGTAGGGGTTTGAAAACAGTTTAGCTCCAAGGACTTTCCTTTACTGTTACTCAACTTCTTCGTAAATCATCCCACATCAGATTCTTGCCGGCATTATAGCCAATTTTCATTTCAATCATTGAGAAAGATACTCATTTCAACATTAAGAAATCTTTAGTTTGATTCCTTAGTTCTTTAAGAAATGTTGATTTATAGTGATTTATGAACATGTTTTGTTATTTAGGTTTCTAGCAATTGGAGTTTTTGCCATTATTTGAACATATTCAGGCATACATATTCTCTGTCTTGCTTTTTTTTATTATAAAGATGTGGGGTACAATTCAGGGTTAGGTATACAAACGCTGATTATGCAGGTACCCTTATTGATGAGGTATGCTCCTCCCTCCCCTAGAAGTTTCCCTCAACAGCCAAACCCACACCCCTTCCCCTGACAGTTTCCCACTACTGCCAATTCCTTTCTTAAAGTATTATAATTGTTCAAGGTCCACTTATGAGTGAGAACATATGGTACTCTGTTCTTTGTTTCTGTGATAAATCACTGAGTATGATCGACTCCAAATCCATCCAGGTTGTTGCGAAGTCCATATGTTTGTCCTTCTTTGTGACTGGATAATATTCCGTTGTGTATATGTACCACATTTTTTATCCAGTCCAACTTCGATGGGCAGCATGGTTGGTTCCATGTTTTTGCTATTGTGAATAGAACTGCAAACAAAAGTACCTATTGTGTGCAGGTACTTTTTGGTAGAATGATTTGAGTTCCTCTGGGTATATTCCCAATAGGGGAATTGCTGGGTCATATGGAAGGTCAATTTCTAATTCTTTTAGAAATCGCCACACTGTCTTCCAAAGAGGTTGCATTAGTTTGCATTCCCACCAGCATTGTAGAAGAGTTCCTTTTTCTCCACATCCTTGCCAGCATCTGTTGTTGTTT